TTATATATATATATATATATATAGAACTAAAATACTAATGCATATAGAAAAATCATATTTGCTGTAATCAATATTCAATTTAATCAATGAGTTTAATAATAACTTAAAAGTCACACTACAAAATGGTTCAGACAGTCACAGAAAACAACCATTCAGATATTTTTGAGATTTTTTTTTGTTGAAATATTGGACATTGCGACGGTATTTTACGACTACTTTCACCACGAATTGTCCTTGCTCTTCATCTTTCGTTATGATGTTTGCAAAGTATGTGATGCGCTTGACCGCTCTTTCAGAAAGATCGTTTAATACCTTGCCATGGAGAACAAGCGTGACAGCTTCCTGGATATCACCATCAGTGGCCCATTGTGTTGGTGGCAAGTGTAACCATTTAATGTCGATACCAAAAAGGTTTAATAGGAGCCACGATTTTCGGCCAGTCAAAGACGGCAATTCAGTCGATAAAGCTTACTGTGGAAATATCTGGACTCCTTTCTTCAGTAGTTTTCGTCCTTCACCTTGATCACTTCATGAGCAATTCGCTTCTTCTCAGATTCTTACACCAAGTTGGAGAAAAGCGAAAAAAAGTGCGACTTCTTCCGTTAGGTACCAGAGGTGGCTGTTGAGCGCAGTAATGCAGCTCCTGACAGTGTTGGATCAATTCTTCTGTATATATTCAGATCATTCTATAGCTGAAGATCATTAGAAGATGCGTCTACAACAGAAACTGTGGATAACCCAAATTTTATGTGGAAAAGAACATTAAAGATGCGGTCAAACATACTGTTGGTGTGAACATACTTTGTATTCATTATGAGAAAATCCTAAAAACTGGACCTCCCTTGAATTTAGACTTTGAGATTAAACAATTTTTGGTCTATTAAGTTTATTTATTATCTAGTTATTAAGCAGATGCAGTGCAACTTGTCCATTTTGGATTTATCATAATTCAGATGACTACCAAATGCGTATATCTTAGCACTATAAATCACAGTTTCCATCCAACGGGCATGATGATATGCACCAGGCTGTAGCCAGTGCAGTCCACAAAGTGGGGTTTCTTCAAGAAGAATCAACATCGATTCGGCACATTCTCGATAATCGTCGCGAGACAAAAATCTATCGAGGCAGCTTCAAATAAAGTCAATCTTTCTCGAAGAAAGTTTATAATAATTTCCCGCTGAAGTTCAAGTCGACGATCAGAGGGATGCAGCGTCTTAAAAGTTGATCGTTCCTCAAGAGTTCCCCAAGATTTCTGAAACTCTTTGAACTCAGGATTGTTCATACTGGATGTTGCACCAATCAATTCCTGCCAAACCGCACCCAAAATTCTTTCCATGATGTGATGACGGCAAACAAAGTAAAAACCTTTCTTGTTAAGCAAAGCTTCTAACTGCACACAAGCACTTTTCCATCCAGAGCCTGAAACGGTAGTATCGAAAACAAGTTCAACAATAGAGTTTTCTACTTTATACTGAAGTGCGAGAGCATAGCTTTTGTTAGCCTGGGTTGTATCAGTTCCATCAGGAATCACTGGAACAACAAGCAATTTTCCCTCTTTGTGGTCTGGCATTCCTGCTATAAGAACTACTAGCCTCTCCTCATCTCCTGGAACAAGTTTTCGTAGGAATGACACCCCTCCAGTTGCTGCAAGACTTTGCTTTCTTTGTTCTTGATTTCATTTGCTCACCGAATAAGAATTCTCTCTCGTCATATTATTTTATTTTTTCTTGCTGTTTGCTTTGTCTTCTGATCATAAAGAAACCTTCTTCTGATTTTGTAAAGCTTTCAGAAATTCGACATCTTTTTTCTGTTCCTGATTTCGAAATCATCCAGTTTCTATTTTCTTCTGAGTTTCGTGGTATGCAACGAAAAAGTAGTTTTGTAGTTCTTCAACAAACAATTTTTCCTTCGCTTCATTTGATTTACATCCTTTCCTCTTCTGCAGCGTTCTATAACCATCATAAAGACTCAAAACCTTAGCTCTGATGTTGTCTTTTCGTCAAGTAGGTATTCCTGCTTTGTCCAATTTGTTTTGAATTTCAAGTATGACTCTGTTTGCAACTGCACCATTAAAGTTGACGTATTTTTCATGCTTCATTGGACTATCTTTTATGTTCAGAAACTCTCGTATCAACAAAAAATAAAATAAAAGATACATAAAATATAGAAACCAAAACAATGCCCTTTTTCTTCATATGAGAGATTCTGGCCATCAACTTCATTGGAAATCAACAATAATTTTGTACAAAATGGATAACTACATTAAAAGAAGAATCGTCGAAAGTTGCTTAATCAAATACCTGCCTAATTTCAACACCTCCCAAAGTCATTTAACAACTTCCTGACCTCCTGTGTCCTTAAGGGAATTCCAAGATCAGGGGTCACGTAATCGTTTGTTGACCAGTTTTTTCCTGCCAGAAGGCAACGTGAGACTGAAGAGGACGCACGAATGTGTCGAATCTAATTTCTCTAATACCAGTCTTCTGACAGTTTGTTTACTGTGGTTTTACACTAATTTCTATACACGATATTGTGTTCTTTTAATATTATTATCACACACCTCCTCATTTACATCTGCGACCTGGAAGGATTATATTAATTCAATGCAACAAGAGTTAAAATCTTATCAGCAATTATCCTACTAGTATTAAAAACCTATTTGAAAAGTAGCTTTGACACACCTTTCTTATATACCATTAGTGATAATTAATTCAGTGGATTTTTATTCTTTTTTCTTCAGGTAAGTTAAATATAACTTTCATTTAAGCAAAACAAAATATTGTTTTATTCAGTTCTTTCACTTTAACTTTTACTACAAGTTGATCTGTCAACCAGAACAGTAAGAAATCGTTTAAAATCTGCGGGACTGAAGTCAAGGAGA